GGGTGAAGGAGCCCCCGGGACACTAGGCAGGCTGGACCCATGTCGTACTTCAGAAACTTGTTAAATGCCCATTCATGGATCGATCCATCATCCATCCACCCACTCACCCTTCCTTCCTTCCATCCTTCTACCCATTCACTCATCCTTTCATTCTTCCATCCATCCATCCTCCCATCCATCCATCCATCCATCCATCCTCCCATCCATCCATCCTCCCATCCATCCATCCATCCATCCATCCATCCATCCTCCCATCCATCCATCCACCCATCTACCCATCCATCCATCCATCCAACCATCCATCCTCCCATTCGTCCAACTATCCAACCTCTTCATCCATTAAGTAAAATATTTTATTGAGCACCTACTGAGTGCTAAGTTCTGTAGGTACAAGTTGGTACATAAAACAGACTTTGTGGAATCAAGGTGTTCACAGCCATAAACCAACAATTACAACACAATGTGGACAGAGCAGGACAGGGAAGTGTGTTGTGAACTGTGGGGACACAGTGGAAAGTGGGGTCTGAGGGAGGAAGTGAGGGTTTAAGCTGCAATCCGAAGGAGGCTGGGAATGGAAGGAAGTGGGTGTGAGAAGCAGGAGAGAGAGTTCTAGACAGGAAGGACAGCCTGTACGGAGCCCTGGGCGTCAATGAGGGCCTGGCATTTCCCCGGAACTGAAAGGAGCTTGACGTGGCTAGAGCAAAGTGACATGGTGGGTGGCAGAGCTGGGGGTGACAGGTGAGGCTGGAGAAGTCGGTGGGAACCTGGACTTCATTCTGAGAGCAACGCAGAGGCATGGAAGGGTTTCTGAGAGTGGGAGCCTTGCTCAGACCTGTGCTGGGGGAGGTCGCTGGGCTCTAGGGCGGAGGACAAACTAGAGGAGTGAGCCTGGAAGCCGGGACATCAGTGCGGGGCTGTGGTCCGGTGGAGAGCTGGAGGGGGTGGCCCTGTGGGTGGCGAGAAGGACAGGGGTTCAAGGGTTCCAGACCCACCCCGGTGGCCAGCTCCGTCGGCCTTGCTGACTGAATGTGGGAGGTGAGAGACGTCCCTTGCGGTTCTGACCTTAGAGTCAAGCAGAAGGACAACCTGTCAGGAAGGACTAACTCATCAGTGAGCAAGGCAGGCCCTTGGGACTGGGGGTGGGACGTATTTTTGGATTGGGGGATGGTAAAAAAACAACAAAAAATGCTTGGGACCTTTGCACCTCAGCCCGCATGGGCAAGACAGGATGGAGCGGAGTCGATACAAGACTAGGTCCATACAGAGATGCCAAGTGAGACCCCGGACAAGTCACTGCCTCTCCCGGAGGCTCAGCTGACACGGCATAACCTGCAGGGACAACTTTTGCCATCCCAGTGACACCGTCACGGACAATTGGAGGATGACAAATTGTTCCAACCCCAGCCACCTTTCCCCAGCTCTGCAGCGTGGGGCCAAGTTCCTGGCACTGCGACAGCGTCCCTGGTCCCCCACCCCCAGCTCACAGTAGAGCCAAGGGTGGGGTAGGAGCCCTCATTCCCTCCCTTCCAGGGTAAAGGACCCAGAATCCAGCCGATTCAGGCCCTCCCTCCGGCCTGAAGCAGGAGGTGGGAAGGGAGGGGTGTTGACTCCTCTAGCTGGATTCACCCCAAAGGGACTCCCCGCAGCAGCAGCAGCAGCAGCGGCAGGAGGGGTGTCTGGTGCACAGGGTGTCACAGGGCTGGCTGGAGTCTGAGGTGTTGAGACAGGGAGTCACACTGCCGCTTCCTCTCACTCAGATCCAATTTCCTTTTGACTGTTCTGACAGGCCATGTCTGGCTTGTTTCCCTGCCCGTGGCCTGGCCCCTGCGGCTCTGCGGCCCCTGCGGCCCCTCCACAGAGCCCTGCCTCACTGCCGCCTCCTCCAGGGAGTGGCCCTGATTCCCCTGACGGGCCTCCAAGTCACAGCATGGTAAACGTCTCGAGGTCCTTATCACAGGCCCCAGCCTGAGGACATTCCATCTGGAAGGTCCCTGAGAATCTGTTTCATAGCTGGGAGAAGCAAGGAGGAATCAGCCGGTTAATTTCTAGTGAGGAAAACACCTAAAAAATGTCCCTGGTCTCTGCGGCCTTCCGAATAAGACCGGGAGGTGCTCCTGGCCCCCTACGGGCTCTCCGAGGCCCCTGCTTCCTCTCGCGTCCTTGTCCTCGGGTCCCGTGCCAATCAGCCAGGCCTCGTGGGAAGCCCCTTGTGTGCCAGGCACTGTGCTTGGAGCTGGGGGTGCACGTGGCAGCGAGCAAACCAGACCCCTCGCTGCCCTCACGCAGCTTGCTCGCTCGGGGTCACCCCTAGGCCCTTCTGTCCACCAGCGCTCTGCGCTGTCTCCCTCCCTCATCTCTGCGCATTCCCTCGTCTGCACCTTTGCTAACCGCTCCCCTGATGTGGAATGCCTGCCCCTCCTTCTCTAGTCACCAGCGCTTCCACCCCCGGGGCCCAGCTCACTGGCCTCCACTTCCAGGCAGCCTTCCCCGTGGGCCAGTAGCATCTCTCCCCTTATCATCACTGGTGATGGGAATTTAATGATGGCTGCATGGTGAACACGGAGCTGGCTGAGAAGGCAAAGTGGGCCCTTCCCCTTACACGCACGACCTGCGCGTCCCTAGGTGGGGCCAGGCCTTGTCCCTCCAGCCCCACCCGCTCTGAACTCCGCAAGGGCAGGGGCTGCATCCGACCCTCCCCCCCACTGTACCCCACCCCTCGCAGCAGGCATACAGCAGGCGCTCACGGGCCCACTCACCGCCCCGCCGCCCCTCCCTCCCCAGCCAGACAGCTGGCACCAGCCCAGAGCTGGCGCGGACCTTCTGTTCTGTCTGTTGTCGCCGTTCCCCAGAAGGGACAGGGGAATTTGGGTCCTTCTGGAGAAAAGTTCTGAGTGTGCAGCAGAACGGGGGCCTCAAAACCCACTTGGGAGTTTCCCCCGCAGTGGGGGCTGGGGCCTCACGTTCACAGACTGCTCCTCGGCGTGATTACAGCCTCCTGCCGTCCTGCACAGAGTGGGGGGGGGGGCACCTGCGGCAGGTGGAGAAGCCACAAGCGGTGGGCGAGAGCCCCGGGACAGAGGCTGTGGGGAGCAGAGAGATCAGCAGACTCGCCCCCTCCCCACGGACCTCTGGGCTGTCCCCATTCCTCAGGGGCCCCAGGGGTCCAAGGCTCTGTCTCCAGGTCGGAGCTTCCTGGCCCCCAGCCGGGGTCTCCAGGGCACCAGCACCCCCTCCCCCCTCCCGGCCGGGCCTCCTCTGACCCAGCAGGCTGGGACTGCGGCATGCTTCTCTGTCGGAGGTGGAGGTTGCCCCCACCTCTGCAGGAAGCTGGTGTCAAACAGGAGGCAGGCAGGCAGGAGGCCCCGCTCCCTGCCCCTCCACTGCCTATGCCTTGGGGACAGACGGCACGGCCCAGCCAGACAGGCTGGGGGCTGACACCTGCTCGGCTGTGGCTTGCGGAGCTGGCAGGGGTTAGAGGTCACTGGCAGGTGATGGGACCCTAAGAGAAGCAGAGGAATGCTGGTGTGAGGTCCACTAAAGGAGGATCCCATCTTTTTCAGATCTACCTGAATGTCTCTCTACAGGTAATGCCTCTGAGGCCCAGAGAGGGTCCGTGAGCTGCCCGAGGTCACACAGCGAGGACCCTGCCCATAGTTGGCACGTTCTGCCATGCACAGGGCCACTCCTCGCCTGCAGGCACTGAAGCAGCCCCAGCCTCCCGAGGTGGCCCTCAGAGGGGAGGACGAACGTCTGGCTTTTCCCTCGCGTGTTCTGGTCCAGAATCGTGGTTTCCTCCCACGGGTTCACTGAGAGGCTACGGTCTGAGCACCTGCTCCTGGTAGGACCGGGTTTCAACAAGCGGCCCCTGCTGCCTGCACCGTTGCCGGCAATGGAAATGTAATGACGGCTCCACGATCGACAAGGAGCTGACCGAGAAGACAACGATGCACCTGACACCGCGTGACGGGGCGGTGACATTCTGAGCTGCCCCAGTCACCCAGGCCCAGGGTGGAGCCAGGCCTAGGTCCCCTGGGGCAGCATGCAAGTCCGGAGCTGCCCTGCTGAGGTGCTGCCCCCGGAGGTGGGCAGGGTCTCCCCCCTAATTAAGGGACTGGCATAAGCCGGCCCAGGGGAGCCCTACGCAGACAAATGACTGATTTCTCTGGTGACCAGGCTGACCCGACGCAGTGACGCTGTGGTCCATGGGTTCATGGGCAGTCTGCTCAGAGCCCGGCTCTGGCTGGACGCTGACCACGGGTCCCATGCAGACTCGGCTCCGCCGGGAGCCGGAGGCCCAATCGCTCGCATGTCTTTTCGTTCAGTTCTTCGGCCTGGAGGGGGGGGGTGCTGCCTTTGGGGGCATGTGGCTTCCCAATCTGTCAAATGCAAATCTGGACTAAATGATGACTAAAAACTGTCAGACTCTGGCCTTTTCTGTGGTTCAGGGGAAGGCCCTGAACTTGAACTCGGGGGATGGCCCACCAGCAAGGCTGTCTGGGTCTCAGGTCTTTCTCAGAATGGGATGGAGCCGCGGTCCTCCGTGAGGCCGGCGCGTCTCACAGGGAGAGGGGGTCTTTCCACACCCCGAGCCCCTCCGGACCCCGGTTACGCCGCCTTTGTTGTGCCCCGTCCGGCCGTCCTGCTCCCCGGGGCCCCGTGCACCAGGGGGCCTCGGAGCAGGACGAGTCTGGTTGAGGATGACGCTCTCTGTGTGCTTCCAATAGAGGAACCAAGAAATAGCCCTGCAAAAAGGAGAAGTGCCTTGCTGTCCTGACCCCCGGACACACATCCCACCCCACCTCTGTCCCCATTCGGCGGCCCGTTCTGTGGAAAGCCACAAACATTCCAAACCTGGACTTCCACTGAATCATCCCAAATTCTTCGAATTCCACCGGTCCAGGGAAAGATGGGAGGAACAGGTGGTGGGAGGCGGAGCCAGATCCCCAAAGAGGTTAAATAGGTCACCTCCTCCCCTCGGCTGTCATCCTGTCTCCCCCGAGCAGAGGGACCCACGCTCAGAGACCGTCTCTGGGCCACCGCCAGCACCATGACCCCAGTGAAGATGCTGCTGCTGGTCACCCTCCTCCTGGGCGCTGCCCTGCGGGACGCCCATGCAGGTGAGGGCAGAGGAGCGGGGCGGGGTGGGGCGGGGCACCCGCTGAGGCCCCGGCAGCAACGCGCACCTGTTTGTGTGTTACTTGCCCCTCACTTGTCCCTACAGGATTTTGAGGGAGGCATTCAGAGGACAGTAATGACGAAGGTGATAGAGATCAGGAGGAGGAGAAGGAGGCCCCAGCGCCCGCCCGCCCGCTGGGGGACTGGCTTGGGGAGGAACCAAGGCTCCCCTCTCCCGCCCCGAGGCTGTGGCGTGGTGACTGGGGCTGGGACCTGAAGGCGGAAAGTGAGCAGTTCTCAAGGAGGTCCGCCAGCTTGTGTTTAGTGAATAGGGTCTTCCACACCGTGCAGGAATCAGCATAAAAGCAGGAGAATCAGTCCCCAGAGGATGTGAACACAGAGGTTTTTGACATCCACTTGGGAAAGGGAGGCGGAAGCCAGACACGAAGCTGGCGAGCGCCCGCCGCGCCAGCCAGGGGCAGCGCGCGGGCGGGCTCTGGGGGGCCGGCCTCCTTCCACCCTCACTTCTGCGAGCCGCTGCCCCCCGCCCACTTGCTCGGCTCCCGGGGTGAGTTGGACCAGGCGACAGCTCCCCCTGTGGCCAGAGGGCCATCGGGGCTTCTCAGAAAACACACTCTCACTGCCTCCAGTTTACCTTTTGCCAGCGCTGGGTATTTGCCATGCAGATGAGGAAACGGAGCCCCGTTCAATCACCTGCACAATGGGGGCGGGGTAGCACCTGCCTCCAGGTGTCCAGGTGTGCAGTGAGGCCTGGGTGAGCGGCTGCAGGGACCGGCTCCACCCGGAGCCCGGGTCAGAGTGAAGGAATTGGTGCTGATGCAGGGCTGGCACTGAGTGTGCAGACACACACGCAGGTGCACTCGGAGACACACGTGTGCGTGAGTGTGCACCACTCCCCCGACACACACGGACACACACACAGGCCCTCCCAGGCACGCAGATACGTACCTGTACACACACACAGGGCCTCTGGAAGCCCACGCAGAAATACTCTCACAGATCCCTCCAGCAACACACACACACAGACACACGCACGCAGACCCTGCTCCACAGACAGACAGACACGTGTGCACGGCCACAGACGCTCACAGACGCGCCTACCCCTGCTCTTCCTCCGCAGCCCGAGGGACCAACGTGGGCAGGGAGTGCTGCCTGGAGTACTTCAAAGGGGCCGTCCCCGTCCATAAGGTGGCGAAGTGGTACCGGACCTCGGAGGAGTGTCCCAAGAACGCCATCGTGTAAGTCTGCCCCCTGCCGCCCCCCACCCCCTGGTCCTGGGAGCTGAATACGGGAGCTGCACTGCCTGCGCTGCCCCCTTCATCACCCCGGCCCCGCTCCTGTGTCCCGCCCTGCAATGCCCGAGGGCCCAGGCCCTGGGGTCCAGCCTCTCTGTTTGTTTATGGCAACCCTGAGGCTTTGAGAGAGAGGACAGCCCTGTGTCACACGGGCAGTCACAGCGGATGCAGTCTCTTCCCCTGGCCTGGGCCTGCACACCCATCTAGTGGTTTGGGCAGAATGGGGCAGGTGGGCAGAAGGCCCGATGGCCCTGACTCTCTGGAAGGGTCAGGGTCACTGGGGACAGAGCCTGATGCCCCAGATTTCCTCCTGATTCTGTGTGGCTTCAGCAAGTCCTGCTGGGTGCAGGACGAGGCTGCCCAGGGCTCTGCAGGGCCGCCCCACCCTGACGCCCCTGACGGTTCTCTCCCTCTGTGTAGGTTTGTGACCCTCCAGGGCAAGTCCATCTGCATGAACCCCAACGAAACCAGGGTGAAGAAGGCAGTCAAACATTTGCGGAGAAAACAGGAAGACAAGTGATCCCAGCCCCCAGAAGCCCTGATTTCTCCCTGGACCATTTGGAAACTTCCCGTAGCCTTGGTATGGGCTGCCCCAACCCTCAGCTGCCTGAGTCCAGTGGAGGCCGTTTCAGGGACAAAGAGGACCCTCGTCCCCCCTTCTGAACTGGAACCGTGGCAGGAAAGGGCCCCGATTAAAGTCTGTCTTTCCAAGCCTGGGTCGGCCTGTTCTGTCCACTCCTGGCTGTCACACTGGGGAGGTGGGGGAGGGGGGCGGGAAAACATCTGGTCCTCCCTGTCCAGGTCGGAAAGGGAACCGAGGCTGAGGGGCCCCGGGGCCAGAGGCCCAGGCAGGGGTGGGCTGAGGGGGTCCACGGGACGAGCAGGGCAGGCGCGAGCGAGAGGCTCAGCAGACCCTCCTCTGTGCTATGTGCAGGCAGGTGGGGGGTCTGGGGAGCAACATCTGGGTCCTCTCTGGTCTCGTCTGCCCCCTGACTGCTGGTCTCCTCCCAGACCAGCCCCTGTGCTCACCTGTGATCCCTGGCCTGGTAAGGAGCCGAGCACAACCCCCTAAAGCGTTGGATCCGATTCCACAGACAATGTCCAGGACCCTTCCTTGCAGGGTTCTGCTGAGTGCTGGGGAGCTCCCCAGCCTGGGGGTCCCTGCAGCCCCCTCCCCATCTCGCTCACCTCCCATTGCCAAGCCTTTGCCAGGCCTGGGTCCCTCCCCCAGCTCAACCCCCAGACCCGCTGCCAGGGCCCAGGTCCTCTGCCTGCTTCCGGCTGTCTGCAGTCTGAGCCTCGCCTGGCCCGAGTCATCGCCCACTGCGCCAGCCCTCCTCTCCCTCGCCACCAGGCCGCCCCGCCCGGCCCTCCATCCACAGCTGGGAAACAGTGCCTGCCCAGTTCTCATTTCTGCTGGTTCTGCCACCTTTTAGGGGCTACTGCAGGGCAGCCCGCCTTGCAACAACCTGCTCTCCCATCGACTCCTGTGTGGGTCTGTCTCTCCGTCCTGACTCTACTGTTAGGTTGGGGTGGTGCTCCATGAGCCGCCCTGAGGACCCCACAGCCCATGAACTCAGAAGGATGGAGGTTATGGACCACCACCCCTCGCTCTGCCTGGCCAGGCCCGGCTCAGGGCTGGAGCTCTCGTGGGCAGGGGGAGTCAGTCTTCAGATTCCAGTTCTGTCTCATTGGCCGGGGGCTCATGGCTTCGCTCTCTGGCATGCAGTCTTGTAACAGGGAGCAGCCAAGGAGGGTCCCAAATAGGGATTTGTAATGGGGTCCAGAACACAGGGTGTCCAGGAAACATTAGAAAAAATATATGTATATATAGGATGTCCTCACCTCCACCAGTCTGAGCTGGGGGAAGGGACACATGGAGCAGGAACATTGAGAGTTGTTCTGCATAGCAGCAGCTTTGCAGCTAACCTCTGGCGTGGTCAATTAACACATCTATGACCTTTAACTGGTTTTATAGATATGTTAAATGGCAGTAGCCATGCTTTGAGCCAGAGGGATGGAAGTGACTTCCACCCAGGATGTAACTGGGAGGCAACTCCCCTGATTACAGCCTCTTCATGAGAGCTTGGAGATGATTGGCTCCACGCCACAGGGCCATGCCTGCCCAGACTCATTATGGCAGCCCAGTAGAGCTGGATGAATGGGGGAATGCTGGCAGGTGTAACTGATTGTGGGAGGAGTCGGGAATGGGGCTGCAGAGGAGGATTGGCGCTGGGGTTTAAACCCAGGTGCGGCGGCCATGGCAGGGGACTATGCAGCTTTGGGGTGCTCCCTTTTGCCACGTGGCTTAGGAAACAGGAGAGACTTTGCCTGGAGGAAAAGGGGTGAAAGGACCCCTACTGGTGGGCCATGAGAAGGTGCCACATGGCTTTGGATTAACTGGAGATCACGGCGGGGACACGGCTGACGGTGCCGGAACCGAGGGGCTGCCTGAGCCACGGACTTCTACTTCTTTTCCTGAGACACGGTACCCCGGACTGGGCAGGGGGAGAGGGAAGGACTGTGTGTGTTTGTGGGTGTCCTAAAGGACTTTAGGATTTTAATGAAGACATTAAGTCATTACCCCAAGTCTGTATATTTCTTTGAATAAATAATCCCTTTCCTTTTCACCAGTCTCTGGCATTGAGAGAAGTCTTTCCCTGGCGGCGGGCAAGGCGAACCTAGTGGGAGGGGGTCCCCGGAGCACAGGGTGGGTCCATTCGGTAATAGTGTATCGGTCACCGCCCCCACCCCCGTCTGTTCTGTAACAGTGTTTGGCACCCAACGTGGGGCAGTAATTGCCCGTGGCAGACCGACCCCCTCTGTCGGGGGAGAGGGAGACTTCGGAGTTTTCCCAATCTCTGAGAAGTTCTCTGCACTCCTCCTGAGGGCATCGGCCGCCTAACCACGCCCGGAAAGGTGAAAAGGAAACGGAACGGGGAACAGAGCAGAGAAGTGAAATGGTTTGGTTGAAAACTTGTTTCTGAACACGGTTGGGGAATAATGGAGGTGAGGGTAATGGTTTGGTTAGCGTGCGGCTTCCAGGTTGCCCCTGTCTGCTCACGTACAGTTTCGGGGAGTCCAGGTGGCACTAAGGGAACCTGTACTCGGGTTTGGGGAGCAAGCAAACCCCCAGGCTCTGTAAGCCGAGCCTGCATGTATGTTGGGGATCTCCCAGCAAGCCATGTGGGTGCGCCGCCATTTTGGGTAAAATGGAGGATGAGCCACAGGAGTGCCCCACCAGGGAAGATGGGTTGTGCATGGGTGCCGCCATCTTGGGTGACCCAGTGCGCATGGACGCTGCCATCTTGGGTGATGGGTCACGTGAGGGCTCCGCCATCTTGGAACTGGGCAAGGTGGTGGGCTAAGGGCTCTCTTCAGGTTATGGGCTGTGTGTTGCTGCTGTGTGGGAACTGCACCAGTCAGGGTCTCTGTGCAACTGGTTCTGATAGGGAGGGCTCCGGTTCTGAAGGTCGTGAGCTGGGGTCCAAGGGTGACCATCTGATTTATAGGGTGTTTGCAAGGTCTAAGCTTCAGAAAGCTGCAGGTTGTCCCTGCGAATCTAGGGACTTTTACTGGAAGGTACCTATAATGCTAGGGACTTTTGTCTGCCAGATGCTGAGTTTAAGTGCTGAGTTTAAGTATAGTCCTTCCCAGTGTGGGAAAGGAACAGGGATTAAAAGTGAATGATGGTTAAATCTGGATGGGTAAAAATATGCGTAAATGTTGTAAAAGTTTTAAACCTACAGGAAAGGAAACCTCAACCACTTGTTTTCTGGTTCCATGAGAAAGGAGCAAGTTTCTCCCATTGGTTCTGTTTCTGATCAAAAAACCTCTGTAACTGAAGACCTAGGGAAAGTCGCCTGTAACCGGCTGGGGACAATGTCCTTGCCACCCGGGACCCAGGAAGGGTGGCAAGGACATTGAAACACTCACGATGAGTGTTTCAGCCTGAGGCAAAGGAGTGTGTCTCCGCAGAGACACCAGTGGACGCACCGGTACACGAGAATGCCTCTACCCACAGTGCACTGTTCTTCTGGGCTCTGTCTGCGTTTTGGACTTTGCTCTGAAAAGCAAATTGTATGTGTTTTGTATCTTCTCTGAAAAGGAAACTGAGGGTTCCAGGGAAGGTTAAAACTTCCCACTCTGTAGGAAACTGAACAAGGGAAAATGTAAGATATATAAATGAAGAAGGTATATAAAAGGATATCAGAAGGAAAAGGATTTTCCTTCACACATTGTGTTTTTCTCCCTACCTGATCCCTCCAGAGGTTGGCATTCTGAAGGAGTGAGTGATGACATAAGGTTTCTTTGCATAAATCCATTGAGACCAGTCATCAATGGTGGTTTTGTGAACCAAGACTTTGACTGGAATGTCATGCCAGAAAGAGGCATGTCTGGGTTCTGGTCGTTACCAGAAAGCCCTGAGGAACTGGGATTGACTCACAAAGCTAGCAAAAGCCCACGAGAAAAAGCCTGGTACTTGGGTTGGCTGTGTGGTTTGTGGCAGTCTTTCCAGGGAAGGAATGAAGGTTGCTTTCCTGAAAAAATGGCTAAAAAGGAACCTGTAGGCACAATGGAAGTCTCAAGGATTTGAGTGAAACAACTGGTACAGGCGAAGCCAGATGGCGGATGTGTGGCTCTGCTTCTGTGCCCCGAAGGGTGGACCAGGAAGTCAATCTAAAGGTTCCCTTTGTGAGTTCCAGCAAAGCGGACTTAAAGATCATAAGTGATCGAGGCTGCTCTTGGTGTGTTTATGCAAATGAACAGTCAAAATTAAAAGCTAGACTCAATGTAGTCCCTTTAATAACAATGAGGGTGATCTTAGGGAGAAAAATCGTGGTTCAGGGAAAATCACAATGCTCAGTATTAGACATCAGAAGGGTGCAGCTAATTGTCTTGAAAGTCTGTTTTTCATTTGAAAGTTGAAACTGGGTTTGTAATATCACCAAAGATGTTCAATTTATAGACACAAAGGACCTGTCAAATTGCCATTGTTAAATGTCATTGCAGCAAGGGCCTTGCAACTGGATGTCTTCCCAAAAGACAGTCTCATAGGCACAGAGACTGGCCTGGGGATTGTCGTGTGAATTAATCTGTGTGTTCCTCCTTCTGTTTTCATAGGGCGTATGCCTATGACCTCATTACCTGGGTGATTGGTTGCAAGATAGGCCTCACTTAAGGAGCCCATCTTCATCGCCCCCTGAGACTCGATGGTTTGGTTAAACTAAGTGGTTGGGTTGATGAAGGGTTTGGGTGGTCTGTGGCCTTCACTTTAGAACTGATTTTCCCTTTTCTGTCCTAATGGCTTGGACAGAAAGGGCCCAGAAATCTGAAAGGAGGGAAATCCTAATATATTCCCCTCAGCCCCAGTAAAGTGTAATAGGCCACAAGGGTTTTGGATAGGTGTAGCATGCCTTGTACACCTTCCTCCAGTTAAGCCATTCCTTACCTAAGTCCCTGCCTTCATCATTTAGTGGTTATGATTTAATTATGCTTCCAAGTCTTGCCAAATGTGTCACCTCCAGAATATGACAAGGATGCCAACGGTCCAGTAATGCCAGCCTTTGGACATCGAGCCTGCAACTTCCTGGTGACAGCCAACTGACCTGGATTCTTTGAGGTCCTTAACCTTACAGGAAGGACTCCCTCCGTGCTCCTCCCCCCACCCCTTCAGGGTACACCTGACCCAAGGGTAGGTAGGACAATGTCCATGTCCAGCAGGAAGTAGTTACAAGAAGATGAGACCTTCATCCATTGTCCTTTATATGATTATAAAGGGGTTGTATATCTGAAAGGAGGGATTGCAACAGGGTGCAGCCAAGGGGGGCCCCCAAATAGGGATTTGTAATGGGGTCCAGAACCCAGGGTGTCCAGGAAATATTAGGAAAAAAATATATAGGATGTTCTCACCTCCACCAGTCTGAGCTGGGGGATGGGACACATGGAGCAGGAACATTGAGAGTTGTTTTGCATAGCAACAGCTTTGCAGCTAACCTCTGGTGTGGTCATTTAACACATCTATGACCTTTAGCTGGTTTCATGGATATGTTAAATGGCTGTGGCCAAGCTTTGAGACAGGGGAATGGAAGTGATTTCCACCCAGGATGTAACTGGGAGGCAGCTCCCCCTGGTTACAGCATCTGTGTGAGAGCTTGGAGGTGATTGGCTCCACGCCATAGGGCCACGCCTGCCCAGACTCACGATGTTAGCCCAGTAGAGCTGGATGAATGCGGGAATGCTGGCGGGTGTAACTGATTGTGGGAGTCGGAAATGGGGCTGCAGAGGAGGATTGGTGCTGGGGTTTAAACCCAGGTGCGGCAGCCATGCCAGGTTGGGACCACCAGGTTTTGGCGAGAGTCGGGACCAGGTGCTTTGGGGTGCTCCCTTTTGCCACGTGGCTTAGGAAGCAGGAAAGACTTTGCCTGGAAGAAAAGGGGTGAAACAACTCTTGCTAGTGGGCCATGAGAAGGTGCCACATGGCTTTGGATTAACTGGAGATCAAGGCGGCGACACGGCTGATGGTGGCCGAGGAACCATCAGACTGGGGGTGGAGGAACTTGGTCTTTCTCTTCCCAGGATTTTGTGACCTTATTGTTTTTTTTTTCCAAACAAAACTTTTGCCTCTCGCTGCCCTCCTGTGGCCAATTGTCTCATTGCAGGCTGACCTGGCTCACTTTCCCGAAGGAGCAGGGATAAAACTACAGTAATAATGAAGCTGATGACCTGTATCAGCTGGCTTCCCTGTGACCCCGGGTCTCCTGGGCCACGGGTGGGCTCTTCGCCTGCCCTGATCTCAAGCAATATTCCTCAAACAACTGCCTTGGACCCAGAGTCTCGAGGGCACATCAGTCTGAGTTTTTGTGGGAAAATGTTGTCTGGATCCATGGGGCCCAGTTTGGGGCAGGGGGCAGGGAGTGGGAGTGGAAGAAGGATGATCTTGCAAATCTGGGGGGTCAGTGCGGAGAGGGAGCCAGGGAAGGAGAGCGAGGGTTCCTCACTCTGCAGGCTAGAGCTGGAAAGACTCAAGACACGCATTCATTCCAGCACTTTGCACGACCGTCTGCAGAGAAGCAAAGCGCGTTCCTCCCAGCGAAGTCTTCCTCAGAGGCCCACGACGTGCGTGTGGTGCGTGCGTAGACTCGGAACTGCTGTGAGGACTGCGGGGGTGGAGGGGCCATGGCTGGGGATGCGGGAGACGGGACCAGCCCCCGAGGTGCAGGTTTGCCTCAGGGAGGTGCAGGGCTGCGTTCTGGGCCAGTGGGCATGCCCCCTAACACCCCGGGTTTTACGTGTGGGTTTTTCTGGTTTTGGGATAAAATGCCTTATCAATACAAAATACGTAACGTATATGTGAGAAACACAAGCCAACGATGGGGTAAACGCCTGTGTTTGCACATAGCAGGTGCATTGCGGACCCTCCGCAGACCCGAGTGGACACTTCCTGCGGCTCTGAAGCCGCCACTGCCGTCCTACCTGCTGCCTCCAGAGACAGCCCTGGCCCCGAATTTGGGGTTTGGCGTCCTCCTTGAGTCCCTTCGGCCTGACCCGTGTGTGCGTACATAATATATATATGTGTGTACGTGTAAGCCCTAACAATATACCGATGCATCGTGCGTGTTCTTAAACTTTCAAACTTTACATGAAAGGCGACAGATGTCACACCCCCACTCTTCCGCAAATGGCTTCTGTGGCTCCACATTCCAGGAGATTCTTCCCCGTGGATGGGCACGGCTGTGGCTCCGCGTCCCCCCCCCACCCCACCCCCCACCGCCAGGACGACACAGCTCGCTCCCCCCGCCTCTTGCTAAGGGCCATGAGGATTGTTTCCCGCTTCTCGCAATGACAGACCGTGCCCTGGGCAGCTGTTGCCAGCTTGCCTTCTGGTGCGCGTGTGAGAGAATCTCTCTGGGGCACTGGTTCTCAACCTTGGGCGCACTCTGGAGTTCATTGCCTGCGAAAGCTTTGCAAAAGCCTGACACCCTAGATTCTATTGCAAAAGGTTGCCTTCACCGGTCTTTGGAGAGGAGGGGTCCCAGGCATATTTTTTATTTTCGGAAGCTACTCGGGGGGACTGATTCGCAGCCAGGGCTGGGGCTGACACTAGGGGGTATAACTGCCCAAGCCCACCCCCCAACAGTGTGGAAGAGTCCTCGCCTGGCCCCGCCTTCCCTGACACCTGGTCATGGTTCCCTGTGTAGCTTTCCCCACCCCCATGCTACTGAGGGCTGGCTGGAGGGCCTCTCGTCTGCCCAAAGCACGTGAGGCTGCTCTGTGGGACTCTCCCTCCGGCTCCACTGTCTGCCTGTGTCCTGGGAGCCCGTGACCACGGGTTACCACGGGCCAGGGGCTCTGATTTTGCAGCTGAAGGCGCTGCTCTGGGCCTGGAGCGGGCAGGGCCTCACGGGTCCTCTCCTCACTCCGTCCCACACTCCAGCTCCCAGGCCCCGCCCTGGGCCCTCTCCAGCCGTCTCGTGGTTCCGTTTTGGCTGTCTCCTAACCTCAAGGGGGGTGTGGTCTGCTCGCTGCCCACTCACTGACTGCTTTGGAGCCATTTCAGGGGGAAGGGGAAGCCCCAGCTGTATGCGGGCAGGGTCTAAGCAGGAGACCTTAGAGACTTTACAAGAGTTGAGGTTCCCGGCTCCAGGTCCGACCAGCTGACTCGGGACGCCCACGGACATCGGGTCCCTGCACCTTCAACGGTCCTCAGGTGGCTGGTGGCTGGTGGCAGCGGGTGGCTTTCCCTCACCCAGTGACCTCAGCTGTAATGTCTGAGTGGTGGCTGGGACTATTTTTGGCTCTAAAGCCTCCCCTGAGAACTGCCGTCTTCCCAAGTCACAAGGCGTGAGGACTGGCAGTCCCCTCTCACCGCTAATGACGCCAAGAGCAGCGGACAGGAGGCAGCGGCGTCCTCTGTGCCAGCAGGGGCGGGGACCGGAATGAGAATCTGGTCAGCGGGGGCTCGCGGCACTTGCCCAGGCTCTGCCAAGCCCACCCCAGGAGGCTCTCTGGTTTGGGAGCACCTGTCCCCAACCTGCTAGTGGGGATTTCTGCCCTTCACCTTGGCAACTGCAGCAGAAGCAACTCAGAGGCCTGGCAGCTCCAAAAATACTCATGTTTTACCATTAAACCCAGTCTGGGGCTGTAACAGTCTGCTATCGCCACTGAATGAGTTCCTTCAAGTCCAGTGGCTTAACCCCAGGCGTGCACCCTCTCAGGTCCGGGTGGGGGGGGCCGTCCTGGCAGTGAGGATCCCAGACGTGCACCCTTTCAGGTCCGGGTGGGGGGGGGCCATCCTGGCAGTGAGGACGGCCCATGCTGGGCCTCGTTCCCCCTGACGGTGCCTGAGGTCTGCGCCCGGCTCCCCAAGGTGGCTCCCAGTTCTCGGTGCCTGAGGTCTGCGCCCGGCTCCCCGAGGTGGCTCCCGGTTCTCGCCTGTGGACCTCTGCAGACCAGCAGCCGGCTAGAGCCTTGTGGTCCCCCACTTTTACAGGACCGACACTTACGTCAGGCCCACCTCTCTTTGCGCTGACGGCCCACTGGGGACTCTGCACCTGCAAGGTCCCTCCCTTTGCTGCTTAAGGCAACCCGACCACAGCAGCGAGGCCCCGCCACGCTCAGCCCACTCTCGCCCTCGGGAGGGCGCCCACCGTCAGACTGGGGCCCAGCCGCACCAGTGACGAAGTCCACCGGCGGGGATGGAACATGCAACAGCCAACGTAGACTCAAGTTTCAGGGCTAATTCCAAAGAAAACTTTTATTCATTGGTAAGACACAAAAACCCAGGTCTCCCGAACCCACGCACTGTCCCCACCCGCTGGCGAGGTCCACTCCCAGTCCCTGTGGGTAACGAGAACACAGGGTTCCCTGCTGGGAGAGACTTGCTGTGGGTTCAGGCTGCTGCCCGGCTCTTCTGAAGGGGACGGGGGTCCGGTCCTGCAGCGCAGGCCCCCTCTGCGTGTGACAGAGTCTCTCCACAAAAAACAGTTCAGTGCTCTCAGCTGAGCTCGCACGGCTGTGTCAGACCCCCGCCCCACCCCCGACACACGCACGCACGCACACACGCACGCATGCACACACACCCTCTTCACAACTGACAGTGCAGAGGAGGAACACAGGTTTAATAGTGACTGCAGACTGACAGGACAGGGGGCAGCACACCGCCGCAGGGGTCAAGGGGGACGCAGAGGGGCTCCGGCCATGACCACGCAACTCTGCTGGTGCCCTGAGGTCGGAACACACGTGATCTGCATCACCAGGAGTGGCCTGCTGCGCGAGCACCGGCTCTGGAGACGAGCGGTGGCACTTGCTGGGTGCAAGGGGGGTGGGGCCTCGGTCCCAGAGCACCGACGCGCAGCACAGCAGTCTGTGCCCGGGAGAGGGCCCCTCGGCACATACCCCGTTTCCCTATGGCTGGGAAGATGCCAGCCGCCCAGGGTAGCCAGCGCCCCATGGCGCCCTGGCCCTTTGGTCCACAGCAGCACTACACGCCCCCGCCCCCCACGGCCAGCCTCGCTCTGCCTACCAAGGCCCCTCCCTGCAGATGGGTCCCGGCGGGGAGTGGGCAAGTGCAGAGGCAGGGCCGGCCGAGGGGCAGGCGCCGCCCTGGTCGTCACCCTAGTCGTCGTGGAGGCTGCTGGCGCTCAGCAGCACCTGCTCCCCAGGCTTGAAGGCGGGCATCCCCAGGTAGGGACAGCTGGCGCAGCGGAAAGCGTCGCCCAAGTAGCACTGTTGAGAGAAGGGGCAGTCAGATCGGGAAGCTCAGCCCGGAGGCAGGGGCTGCAGGAACGGGACCCCAAATTTTGTAATACGGCCACCGTGGCCGGAAGGAAATGGGTGGGTGTGTCTGTAGATCCAATGGGGCCCCAAACACTACGAGTTTGAAGATCTCTGGTTCCGTGAGAACTACGGTCTGGAGAAGCCCCTTAGGAGACCGTATTTCCACATTCTCAGCAGCTCAAATCACAGCTGAGCGCAGCCCAATGGCTGAGAAACCTCCGGAGGACAGGGACACAAACAAGAAATGAGCCCCCGCCTGGGCACGGGCGCGCTAACCCTGTCTCATGAGACAGCCCCCCTTCCCCGCCGTGACCTGCCCGCCTGCCCTCGTGCAGTGGCTGACTGCCGACACGGGGGCAGTGAGCTCCCACGGCTGGGGCTGGCCTGTGTGTGGCCGAGGATGTGCCCAACACCACTGGGGTCCGGGGACCACCGGGTGCCGACACTCACGTTTCCGCAGGCCGACTTGGGCTGGGAGCTCGTCTGTGCCGCGGACTTCTCTCTTTCCAGCTCTTCGGCCAGGCCACACGTGCTGGGGGGGGGGGGGGAGAGTGGTAGCTGACGGGTGAGACCGCCAGCCCAGAAACTCCAAACCCTGGGGACTTCTGCTGGTCATCCAGTCCCTGCGCCACACAACGGCCCCGCCAGCTCTGCTAACAGTGGCAGGTCCCCGGTTCCCCGGAACTCACTGGTGATGCTCCCCACTGACTGCCCCGGAAGCCGCTCTGACAGGTCCTCCAAGAGGCCAGGCCGGAAGCCCGCCCGCCGGCCCTGCCCTTCCGGGGCTGCACAGACGTGAAGATGCACCTTCCCCGGCCCGGTCAGGTCGGGGCTCCCCGCTCAGCCCTCCACAACTACGTGACGGACTGTCTGGGGGTCTCACAGAGCTGCTCAAACCATCAAACAAGCCAAGAATGACTGGTGCAAGCTTGGAACGGTGACCCCGGGGAAGGGGGAGCGAGACGCAGCCAAGGGAGGATGCAGGAGTGACTGCTGGGGTACCTGCGGTGTTTCTGATTCTGAACCCGGTGACCCTCCTTGGGTGTTCAGGTAATCATTCTCTGAAGTGTCCCTGCCTGACACGCTCCTCCGCAGGCACGACTCACTCCACAACGAACCGTGTGCCTAATTAACTAGAGCACCGTGGCTCCTCGAGCGGCAGCAGCCCCTGGAAGCGGTACTTACCAGTTCTTGCAGGCCTTCCTCTTCTTCCCCTCCCCGCAGGCGGGGGCCCGCAGGGAGGCGGGGTCCGGCTTCTTCAGGTCCTCAGGGTCCAGCAGCTCGTCCGAGTCGATGAGGTCCTGGGGGGTGTTCACAGCTGTTGGTGACTCGGTCGTCACGGTCTCTGCCTCGGAGGGGCCGAGGTGGTCCCGGGCGAGGGCAGTGGGGTTATGCCGTCTGGGTCGAGAAGACCCCGCCATCCCACGGGGGGCTGACCCTCGGGTCCCAGCCGCCCTCCCCAGGGAACTGGCGCACGCCAAACGTGCGCCGGCGGGATGGGGGCGGGGACTGACTCACACCGCCCAGACGGGCGTGTGGGGGGACCGGTGGACAGGCAGCACAAGCCACCACTGCCTGGGCCGGGCGGGAGCAGGCCTACGGCTGGGGTGACACAGACGCTGTGCACTCCTTGACAATGAGCAGACGGCTCGTCTCTAAGTTCTGGGAGCACACACCACAGGCTGCTCCGCCCGCCGCCCTGACTCGGCGGCTGTGGACCGGAGAACGTGACCGCAGGGGCACCGGTCAGACAGGGAGGAGTGCGGCTCTGGAGACCGTGAGTGCTCAGGGCCTTGCCCAGAGGGGCCGGGAGAAGCATCCCAGCCAACAAACTCTCTCCAGGTCTGCACATGCCCGCGGGAGTCTTCAACGTGTCATGTGACGCGCGGGGAAGAGAGATGCCAGGGACAGGCCCGGCCACAGCGCTGGGCTCCCACCCCACGAGCCCCGAGGGAGCCCCCCGCCCCCCGACGGCGCACGTGCACGCCTGCAGCGGGGCTGAGCGAGGGCGCCCGGGGCCGACTCACCGCGCTCTCGTCCTCCATGTCGTTGGCCGAGAGGGTCCAGAGTTTGACGGCCGCAGGGTCCACGGCAGGCTTCGCTGCGCCCCCCCAACAAAAGAAAAACAGCTCTACAAAGAAGCCCTGAGCAAACTACAGGCAAACACACACTTTCCTGCGGGACTCTGTAGCGGGCATACTGGACTGAGTCAGGAGCCCTGTGACGGTCACAGAAGCCACCACCATCAGCACCTGCTTTGTGGCAGACACTCCACGAAGCCTTCCATACCCATCACCCTCTGGGACCCTGCTAACGGCCGCATCACGTAAGTGCCTGCCGCCCTACCTACGTGTGCAGGAGAGACAGCAGGTCAGAGAGTCAGGCCCGCCTCGAAGGCAGGTCTGTCTCCGGTTTTCACCCCACTCCACGCGGCGTTCTCTTCCTTGTCTCGGTGCCCACCCCCAAGCCCGGGGCCAGGGGCGCTCCCCGCAGCCACTGCGGGCGATGGGAGATGGGCTGAGAGGGCGCCAGGAAGCGTCCTAAGTGCAGAGCTTCAGCCCTGCAGACGCCTGCTGCGTACGAGACCACGAGCTCTAGAGCGCATGGGGACAGCGCAACACCGACCGGGGCAGGCCGAACCTCACGCCTCCCGAGTTCTCCCCAGGCCAGGAGGTGGGAAGGGGTGGGGGTGGGGGCGGGGCGGGGTGAGAGCACCCCGGGGGTCAGTGTCAGACCGCCTGCTCCAGCCTTCAGCAGGGCGAACTGCCCACGGAAGCTGGGCTCGCCCACTCTGGACTATGCACCCCAAGGCCAGGATTCCAAAGGGTTTTTTGCAGACGTAGGCTGGGCAGTCAAAACAGAGCGGTGTGAATGTATTTGCTATTTTTGCATCCCTCACGGCTGGGAAATGTCTCTCAATTCAGGCATTGAAGCAGAGACAGGAAGTGCAAAGCACGTAGGGGTGTGCAATTCTCTGAGCAGAAGAAACGTTTTTACAAGTGTCTTAGGATCCTCAAAGTAACAAAAGCCGACTTTACCGGCACACAAGTAAAGGACACACGGGAAGAGGAGCGGGACACTCTCATCCACCGTGACCACCACCAGGAGGCATCCCAAGGACAAACGTCCAAACTCTGGGGCCTGGACAGACCTCACTAACTCAACTGTGTGACTCGGGCCTTCAAAGTCTGGAGGCGCCGGTGCCCTCCAGGGCAGGGGGCTGAACCAGACAACACCCACGCATGGCTCCAGGCTGGGGTCTGGGGACACCCCGGACGGCGGCACACCCGGCACTCTTCCCCTCGCACATGGTGGACTCGGAGGGACCACCAACCCTCACTCTCGTCTCCGGCTCAACTTCTGACGGGCCCTCTCCAGCCTGTTCAGACGGATGTCGTCCAGTCTTACCCGAAGGAGCAGACTTCTTGGCAACGGAAAGCTTAAGTTGACTAGAAGAACCCACTTCGAAGTTGGGCTTTCTGCCTGTGATCTGCACGGAGAGCAGGCTGTCCCCAAGGTGACCCAGGTGCTCCTGGACAGACTGCTTCTCCTCGGCGCTCAGGGGCTCCCGCTGCAGCTGGAACGCAAGACAGCCGAAGGGTCAGGCCGTACCCACGAGACGGTGTCCCGTGCCCCCCCCCCCCCGGGCATCGCGTGCTCAGGTCTGTGTCTTCCGGGCACCAGTCACTGGACAGTGCAATGCACAGGGGGGCGGGACAGCGGGCGTCGCCTCCTGCCTCGTGCAGCCTTCTCACTACTCACAGCCCTGCGGTGGAGTTTTTGTCTATGTTTTTACCTTGAGCCTCTCCCCTGAAAAATCTTAACGCCCTCATTAAATGCCTGTCTCTGAGGCACAAGGCGCCATGCGAGTCACTGCGGGGGTCGCGGTCCTGCTGAACAGGGCCCGAGCCTACAGCGGGGACGAGCCTACAGAGGGGACGCGCGCCACCCTAAAGGCAGCAAAGTGCGTGTCCTCGGAGGAAAAGAACCCCGGGGGAGGGAGATCCTTCTAGGTCCCTTGGGAAGTAGCAGCTGGCAGTAAAAGCAGGAAAATGGGTGGGGGTGCTGTGTCACTGAAACAGTAATAACCTCTGTGTCCGACATGCAGAAAAGCTAACTGAGCCGCAGCCCACCTACGGCACTGAACAGAGTTCCCTCGTTAACAAGACCAAGGGGCACCACCCGAGAGGGACCAGCCAGCGACTGAACAGGCAGTGCACACGTATGGCCTTGTTTACACTGACAAGTGATGCGGGTACAGACGGGGGGGGGGGTGTACCTGCAAATACATAAAAAAGGTCTGGACAGCCAGACGAACAAGTGCGCTGGGGGATCCTCTGCGGGAGAGTGTGAACAAGGACTGGGATGTCACGGTATGTGTAATATTCTGCAGTGTTAGATGGATTTTTATGAGCGTCTCTTGTTCTAGAGTAGAGCACAGAAAGCCCTGGACCACAGACAGACAGGAAGGGTGGGCGGGAGCAAACGGAGGCCCTGGGTCAAGCGGCAAATCGGCGCTACGCTGGCCTCAGGACGTGACGCCGGCCCTCACACAGGGAGATCTCAACTCTGAGTAAGACTACAGAAATATAAACACCTCTATTTAACGGAAACACGTCTACTGAATTATCAAAACGGGAGTTCCCCCTCCAGCCCCCACCAAACATCTGAGGATAACCTCGGAGACTGCCAGCCGGGCCTCTGACGCGCGTCCATCCAGGGACCTGCGCTCCACCCCACCCCCCCCCCCCCGCCCTGCCCACCGCCTCAGTGGCCTGCCCGACCCACCAGCACGGAGGCCAGGACCAGCCGGCCCCCGGAACCCAGCGGCCCCTCCCCAGAGGAGGCTTAGTACCCCCTCCCCCAGGGCTTGTTCTCTGCGGCGCCCCGCAGCTCACAGGCAGAGCACTTCTCAGCCCATTTCCGAGCCTACGTGACCGATCCCCCGCCCTTGGGTCATCTCCCCCGATCCTCCCTGTACCGTCCGACAGACACACAGGGGTCCGGGGCCCGCAGCCCAGGCTCCCAGCGGAGACGGCGCCTCCCGGCATACCTCTCGCACTTCCACAAGGCCGGAGAGAGTCAGGGCCGAACACAGCTTCGAGGCCGTCCTCATTCTGCCGTTGCTGACTGCCAAGAGGGAAACCCCAGTCAATAGCTTTGCAGGTCAGAGCAGGAAAGATAATAAAGGCTCTCTCTCAGCAGCCATTAAAACAGTAATAACCTTTTGTGTTTAATGTTTATGTATTTCAGTGATATTTTAATTTGACTGGCTTATTCACAATTCTCTTACCTATGCTCATAAGTCATGGTAATGGAATATAATAATTCCATTACTATTGTTTCTCATCGCTCCCTGCTTCTTGGAAATGCTGACCCTTTGGGGGTTGTTAGAAAATGACCGAGCATGAGGCTCAGAAACTCTAACGTGACAAGTGCTCTATTCTCGTGTCATGGTCCTGGCAAAAGACACCGTGTTTCGTCACCTGGGGTTGCGTTCCCAGCAAGGAGCACGGGTACCTGCTCTCCGTGTCACGGTCTGTACTTCCACACACACACATCTGACACACTGCAACGTGCTTTTGTTTCTGCTATCTTATTTGATGAAACAACTCATCACCTTTTGATGGAAAGTCCAGTAAAAAAGGCTACAATCCAGAGCTAACTCTTCAACACGTCGCCACTTGGACAAATAAGAGAGGTTTTTATATCCCGGCTTCTCTCACTGGCTCCCACGAGTCAGTGATCCCCTCGTCACCCCCAGACTCCCACCGCCGTTCTCAGGGAGGGCTGGAGGCCCCTCGGCCGCGCCACCCCCGTGGTCATTCCACACCCAGTTCCAGCACCGTACGGAGACCAGAACCCGACACCCTCCACGGAGCCGACCTGAATCCCACCAGCTTTACGTGCACCTGTGTGTGTGTGTGTTGTGTTTCTGCGCAACCGCAGCACACACGCAGGTGAGTGTGCACCGCCACACCCGAGACACAGAACGGTCCACGACCGCAAGGGGCCCCTGCATCCCCCTCACGGCCTCACATGCCACCTCCCCCAATAAGCGCTGACTCGCTCCCCACCCTCTGTCCTTTCGAGAACGTCGTGTGAACGAGGCAGACAGCACGTGACCCTCTCAGAGCGGCCTGCTCGCTCCGCGGAACTCCCCTGAGAGGCGTCCCAGGTGTCACGCACACAGAGCCTGTGCCTGTTTACTGCTGCACAGCCTTCCGTGGCGCGGACACAGCACAGTCGGCCCGTTCACCTGCCGAAGGACCAGCCGTTTTCCGGCAGGCCGTTTCCTTCTGTCTTCCCACCTCCCGGGTCAAGATCACCGTTTCTGCAGACGCGCTGCTTTAGACTTTCATAATAACTTATCTCCTAGGAGAAGGTCCGGCTGTAGGACTACTGATCTCCACACAGCATCTCCTGCTCAGAGAGATGCGGCAAAAACGCCTAAAGATTTGACCCTGCTGAAGTCTAGCCTTTCACATGAGGATGTCCTCACCGACAGCGGTCTCCACCGGCTCCTTCAGAAAAAGACACCCGCCAGGCCGCAGGATCCGGGCCATCTCGGCCAAAATCTCAGCGCTGTGCAGCATGGCGCTTCCAGGAATCACACCCGACAAAATAACATCAAAGCTGGATTCTTTGTGGGCAGCTGGAAGGAAGGGGGACTCTGTCAGCAATCCCCCGGGCCCCACAACAGTCCCCCAAGCCCCCCCAGATCCCCCCCCAGAGCTGCCCGCCTGGCCCAGAAGAACGCACGGCTGCCTGTCCAGCAAATGCTGTCAGACCACTGCTACTGGCCGGGTCACTGGAGCTGCCCAGCTCTCCGTCCGTCTTACTAGTTTCTTTCTTTTTTTTAAATTTATTGATATTGAGAGAGAGAAGAAGGGAGAGAGAAACTTCAATTTATTGTCCCACTTATCTACGTATTCAGTGGCTGATTCTTAGAGGTGCCCTGACCTCTACCTGCAACCTAGGCGTACTGGGACGATGCCCTAACCGACTGAGCTACCCGGCCCAGGGTAATTTCTTATCCTTTAATATGCTCAGGGAAAAAAGCCAAAAAGGAAGCTGGATAAAGAGTAAGCTTTTAAAAATAAATGTGGAGTGCCTAGATAAGAAACACGAGCACGCTTTTACAAACCATCAATACACTCCTGAGTCCACCACATCTCAACCGAAATCAACAAAGGGCCACCCATGACTGTCTCGCGCCACCCAGACAAGAACTCAGTTATTGAGGAATGCCCGAGACACAGCACTCCCAGGGAAACTGGCCCGGCCACCCCACCCCACTGGTAAAGGCACCCCGGGCAGGTACTTACACTGCAACAGCTGGTCGATGTTCTCCACAGACACGCGGCCCTCACTGCCGGTTAGCGCCTGGAGCTCCCCCACCAGGCCCTTCAGAGACTCCGCCGGGGAGGACTTGTCCCAGACCACCGCCACGAACTGGCCAGCTGCGACCCCGAAGCCCGCCATTCCTGCAGCGCTGCAGACCTACACACCACGGGCCAAAAGGAGGGTCAAAGTCGAAACAGAAACAAAAGCGCAATTTCATCCATGAGACACGTCGAGTGGGGTCAGAACCACAGCCTGGTTCTGACCGGGGGATGGCGACCACGTTAGAAAACCGTACTGTCCCGTGACAGTCTGAATTAGTGAGCCCGTCATCCTTGGTGAGAACCTTGCCCTGGCAATCAGGTAAGCAGGCCGAAAGCAGAAAGATCATCTTCCCTTTGATAAGAGACAACCTGGCCTGACACAGGGCGTTCGTTAGGCAGAAGCATGACTCAGCAAGGGAGGCGGGTGGACTGGCAGACGCAGCCCAGCCACGGCTTCACCTTCTGAGAGAGACGAGTTACGACGTTTGGGAAACTGAATGTCTTTCCCTTTCATCACAATATGACCAGTGTATCAGTGATCGATGGTCTCTGCCATGTCTTTCACCTTGAACATCGGCCAGACCGCTCAAAGCCCTTTCCGTGCATCCCCGCAACTGCCCTAGGTGTTCATCCCCTGCTACAGCCAGGAAACTGAGGCCGCTGGCTCGGCCCTGGCCGCACAGCTGCTAAGTGCCATGCGGGTCCACGAAGAGCCGGGGTCTGACTCTAAGTCCATGCAGCTGACTGCGAAGCCCATGCTTTTCACCCACGGAAATTCCCCCCCACCGGCTCACCTTTCTCTTCCACCTGATACTCAGAGGAGTGCAGAATGTGCTCACAGGGAAATCAGGTAAGGAGAGAGCACTCCGCTCGGTTCCTCCTTTCTTCCTTAAACATTAATGCCACGAGTTTCCGACTTCAAACCGCCCCAGTAAAGGACACACAGGCAGAAGCTGTGGCGGGGGCACCAGGCATGGGTCAGTCTTAGGCTGAACATTCTGCCTTCTGCAGGGGCAGCTAACTAAGGACAACCGTGCCACCACAGGCACTCTGGGGCTGGATTTGAGCCAGGCCCACCGCATGCTTCCTTCTTTACAAGGGTTGCCTTCCAATGACTTGCTCTCCTGCCCACAAAGCATGCCCAGGTCACAGCCGGTCACCCCCACCACTGCGGTACTTTGGCCCTGTTGTTCCCCCTTTTCCTAAAGGGGCTAGTTACTACATGCTTTCCTTTCTAGAGCAAAACCGAACTCCTTAGTCTTCTGGATACAGGTCCTCCATGCTCTGGCTCTGGCCCCACGTGTACCTGCCACCTCTCCAAAGGGAATTCCCGCCGTTCCGTGAGACACCTGCCCCCTCCCTAGGCCCTTCCGTGTGGAATGCACACACTGGACTGTCCTGGCCTGACCGCACGTCACCGGGCAAGGACGCCGAGTGCTATCAGACAATCAGGATTCCTTAGTCACTGAATCATGGTTTTCAAATCCCTAAAAAATGCACAATAAAAAACCTTTTCCATGTTTTGTGGTCACAAGACACTGAGAAAGAGTTTCGAACCTAAGGTGAGCAGCTTAGGGTCAATGTCCCAGTTCAGCAGCAGCCGAGGAAGACGGGCATGTGGATGGCTGGGTAATCGGCTGTCAGAAACAAACGACCTGTTTCTAGAATGATGCTGAATGGGGTTCTCCTTCGGGACACAAGAGAGAGACAACAAGCCCCCTGCCCAGCAATGACGGCCACAACCTTGCACAAAGAAAATCCTCATAAAAGAACCAAGGGGCCCAAGCTTAGTTACTTGCTACAGAAAAACAAGAACCCAGACGCCTGGGCCTTTCCAGCAGCCCTTATGGAGGCAGTTTTACGCAGCACAGGTTCTGAACACAGGTGAACCAGGTTCTATCGACCACTAGGATCTTCTAGTTCACAGCTACGTGCCCTGAGTCAGCTACTAGCTTCTCTTTTTTCTCATCTATGAAGGAGGGGCGATACTTTCCTATTTCCAAGGCTGCTGTCAGAAATAAACGAGAAGATGAAAATATACAGAGCACTTGGCAGAGCCTGGCACACAAAGCGCAATAAAATAATGTTCTGAACACAACTCCGAGGCTGCACTTCTTGTCTGCCAGGAGAAACGCGTGGCTTCTTTTTCACTGTTGGAATTCTCCCGTGCAGGAGCTCACTGTAGGACGCCTCGCCCAGCGCTCCAGCAGGGCTGCGCCGGCAAAGCACCGGAATGGAAACGCTTCCCGTTCCCTATCCCCGCAAACTAATCTTCTGTGGCAAGAGGGGGCTCATAAAATACACCGACTCATAAAACATTAACCTCCAAAACACAGACTCGGCCACCACTTTCGGCCAGCATTTTCCTAATGCAGTGGGGGAGAATGTTCTTTTAAATGTCTAAAAGCCAAAGTGATCACACTTGGATGTTTGTCATCATCCGCGTTTTGAGTTGTTTTCAATCTATCTTTAACAATGACAACAACAATAAAAAAAAACAATAGGAAGAACTGTCTGGCACTGAGGTCAACATACTCAGAAGTGTGACTCAGAGCCCAGTTTCACAACTGAGAAGAGGAGGAGGAGAAGTCACTGTCATGTCAGTGGACGTGACTGTTAGGCACCTCTCCTGCCCTCACCGCCTGCCCCGCCCCTCCTCAAAGGTTCCTGGCCGTCAGCGACAGCAGATGTGAGAACAACTTCTGGAGACGCACGTGTTTATCTTTAAGATACCCAGTAAACATCCCATCTTGAGGCATTGCCTCCTCTCCAGGATGAGCGGGGCCAAAAGAAAAAGCTAAGATCGACGTTTGGGTATCAGTTCAAACCAAAAAAACAACTCCTTTTAAGTCAGGTGCATAAGAATATCTGAGAATCCTGACAGTTATCAGAAAAGGAAAATTTAACCAAAACGCACTGCCTGAAGCTTGTGCATGCACACACAGGGACCGAGAGGGGGAAAGGGGGACGATCAGCAAGGAAACAGGATACTCAAAGGAAAAGCAGTGGAAGAGTGTCGCCAGTCAGAAGTGTGTCAAGAGCTAAGGGTCTCAGAACGGATATCCAAGTGCTACAATTTCCACAGAACTTTGAAGATAGTGGGCAACACTCAGAAAAAAATAAAAACTAATGGCGAGATCGGCAGTGAGTGCTTTACTGAGATCCAAAAATATTGATGTGAAACTTAACATCTAGGAGTTTCCCCAGCACTCATGCACGGGAGAGCAAAACCACTGGAAAAGTTGGTAAAGAGTATGCGAAACAGATACAAAGACAAAACTGTAAACACGATTGCAATCTAACTGCAAACACAAATTTTACAGAACGACGGGTTTAGCTCTCATCATCGCCCATCCTTAATCCCAAAGCCATGTACCTCTTCCAACCCCTGTGAAACCGTCCCTGATGACGGACAAGGCAGGGAGGCGCTCTGCACTTATATTTTTTTGCTTCTGGTCCCTGACCTTCCAGAGTCACCCAGAGCTTGCCGCTCAACGTCTAAACGAACGCTGCCAGCCTTTTCTAAATGTGTAAACCCGACACATCACCTGGGGGTATTTGTTAAAAATAAAATGCCTAGACTACGCCCAAATGCACTGAATCAACTCTCCAGGAGAAACTCCTGGGTACACGACTTAGTAACAAGCATCCTATGTGATTCTTCCTATCTGGCAAGTTCGGGAAATATTTGATTACAGCAGTTCAAAACCTCGGAGGTTCAGCAAAGTCACTGGCTCAAAAAGTACAACCTGGAGGTTCCCCCAACGACCGAAACTTCAGTGTGAGGGGAGGGACCGAGGCCCAAGGTCACAGCAGCCGGCTACAGGCAGAAGCCGGACTCAGACCCAGGTCTCCCAGACCCCAACTCAGGACTCTTCGTCCTGACTGTGACGTCCCCGGGGCCGGCAGCGCAGGATAAGAGGCCACCCAGGAAGGACAAGAGGCCCCCGCGCCAAGAGCCCGGGGCAGACAAAACCGGTCCGGCCCCTCACACCGCTTCTCTGGGCAAAAGCCCGCCGTGGTCCTCAGGGAGGTGGCCACGTCTAGGTTCCCGCCAAGGGACGGGACTGGGACTAGCAAATACCCTTTGCTAGGGTCTGGGGATCAGGGTGAACCAGGAGGGGACCGTTGGGGGAGTTCGGGCTCTTGGATCACCGGACAGCGCTTACCTGGTTCTCCCGACTCACTCTCAGCTTCTCCGAAGCTGCCGGCTCCGCGCCTGCACCTCTCGCGAGAGGAGGAGGATCCCGCGGCGCGATCAAGACGGAAGTGGGCGCGCCGCGGTCCCGGTGCTGCCGGTCGCGTCGCCGTCGGCGGCGTGCCCGCTTCCAAGATGGCGGCAGCGGTGTCTGGCGTGCTCGGCCGGGCGGGCTGGAGGCTCCTGCAGCTGCGGTGCCTGCCCGGTGAGGGGGCGGCCGAACCGGGGAGCGGGGTGGCGAGGGGACCGGGTGCGAGGTCCACCCTCGCCGGGTGCGGGGAGGAAGAGGCCATGGTGGCGGCTCGCGAGCAAGGTGAGGTGAAGGGCAAGGGCGCGGACCGGCCGGTGTCCCTGGATTGTTCGGGCGGTCCGGCTGGCTTCTGCCCGCGGTCCACGGCTGTGAGGGCCAGAGCAGCGAATCGGGGCCTGTCACTCCCATTTAGTGGAGCCAGTGGAGCCCGGGAGAGGGCTGTGGGTGCCCAAGGTCACACAGTTCGGGAGTTGCCGAACTCGGACCCAGCCTCCTAACTCCCTCCCCAAGTCCCTGGGCCAGGAACGCTCGAGGGCCGGAGTGGGCAACAGCCAAAGCGAGCACCTATTGCACTGTTTCCTGCCGGTCATTTCCCCACCATCGATAATTCCGTGATATCCTTGTACCACCTATTCCACTATACAGTCGGCATTTTTGTTTATACATCTGAGTTATTAAACATACGGACATTTACTTAAAAGAGGAAACTTCATATCGCTACCATAAATGGAAAACCAGTGTCAATTTCCATAAACGGGATGTATGCATTTGATATGTTAACAAAATACAGAGCCAATAAATAATAAACATTCTCCCATATTTCACCTAAACTCTCATAAATCACAGCGGTTCCTCAGTGTTTCTTTGGAACCTCCCCTGCTGTTTTCAAAGTTTTACGAATATTTGCTCCATTTCTTCTATATGTACCCTAAAATGATGATATTTTACACTTACTGTGCTGTTTCTTTTAAAATTACTGTCCCCTGTGTTAGTCCATAGATTTTTTTAAACGTGTGTCCGTCTGCTGTTTTTATATATAACTCAAAATATGTCCAGTAAAAATAATGCCTGTAACCCAGCAGATCCACTCCTAAGTATTTACACAGGGAAGTGAAAGTGCCCACAAAAAGGTTCGTGCAGATATGTTCATAGAAACTTTACTTACAATAGCCAACACCCAAACAGCCCAGGTGTCCATCAACAGAATAGTGTTTCTTAATGGAGTACACTCAACAATAAAAAGTAACAGCCTACTACTGATTTACACAAAAAATAGGACTCAAGCTAAAAAAATATGTTAAACAAAAGTCTTACACAATAAGGGCATCCTGTATTATTGCACTTAGATGAAATTCTAGGACAGGCAAACCCAGAGTGAAAAATTCAGAACAGTGTGCAGGCAGGGAATACTGGGAAGGAATTAACGTGAGGGAACTTGCTGGGGTGATGATTCCAGATGCGGTTCAGGTCACATAAGGGTATAATATACATTTGTCAAAATTCAGAATTGGCATGTTTAAGACTTTTGTATTTCATTGTATGTGAATGTCACCTCAGTAAAGGAACAGTAAATGAATATTAAACTCTAGTTAATGCTGTGCATGCTGACATGTTCAGAGGCGAAGAATAGTGAGGTCTGCAATAGGTGTGTCACAAAACAAGATGAATCAGAGACTGCAATGGTTAAGTGTAGAGAATCCAGGTGGTAGACATACAGGTATTCATATCACAGTTCTTTCAACCTGCCTGTGTGTTTGCACTTTTTAATACTCCAGTGTTGGGAAAGGAAAAGGTAGTATGAGTCCATCTTAGGAACCACTACGTATTTTCCAAAAGCCCTTGCCTCCAGTGAGTGAAGGGGGTGTTGCAACACTGCAGATGAGAAAGCAGATCGAGACACCATATAAACACTGGGGAGTCAGTACTCTAACTCCCAGTCCAGGGCTCTTGCTGTGATAGATAAATATGAAACATCTTCTAGTCACTTTCACTTTTTGTTTCTGCCCCACTCACATCCGACTAAGTAGAGATTATTGCTCTTAATTTGCATACTTTAAAATTGTGCTCACTGGGATGAAGTGGTTTGTCCCTTACCGCACAGCTAACAAAGGCACAGGCCTACAAGCCAGCTCGTCTGTTTTCTTGTTCATTTTTGTCTGTGCATCATGTCTAAGGGTTGCCAGTTTACCCATGATTCTTGCCTGGGCCCCAGCACTTGGATAAGTGGTTCTGGAGGGGTCTCTGCCCTGTTCTTCCCCTTCCCCGTCCCGTGTACCACTCTAAGCCTCAAAGGGCCTTTTCTGATTCGTGTCCCTGACTGGTCCAGTTTCTGTTTCAGTGTCCCGCTGCCGATCAGCCCTGATGCCGCGTGCCTTGCACGCTTCAGCTCTGCAGCTCAGGTCCTCCGACGAGCAGAAGCAGCAGCCTCCCCCCTCTTTCTCTCAGCAACATTCGGAGGCCCAGGGGGCAGAAGAACCCAATGCGGAGTCTTCTCGTCCACCCCCCAGGTAGGCACCAGAACCCAGTCCACCCATTTCCGGCCACTCTGCACGCCTGGCTACATCCGTTCATCCTCTCTGCTCCCCGGCCCTGTTTTCACCTTTCATCGTTTTCAAGACTACCTTCGAAAGGAAGTTACTATTTTTTAATGAAAATGGTGCCTGTACATTGTAAAACATCTAAACAGTTAAGGCAGAAGTTACCAGAAACACAAACCCAGAAATAACTCTGCTAACACTTTTGTTAATATCCCTGTAGATGTTTCTCTGAGCGTGTTCCATATGTAAGCCTGCGTCCATAACAATGACTAGTTACACTGCACGCTACACATGCTGTTCCAGAGCCTGTTTTTTCCCTCAGCAGTACGTTTTTAATTTCTTTTCACAGTCTATATTCTTATAATAACTGCATAATGTTCCAGCAAAGGACGTCACCAAAATTTATTTACCCTACCTTTTATCGACGAGTATTTGGATTTCCTGCGATACAGTGTGTGATTCTCCCAGCAGTGGCAGCACCGAGTGGAAGGATGTGCTCTGCGAGTGTGACATTCTGTTACAGACCACGTGGGGCCCCACTGCCCTCCAGAAACAGGATAGCAACTTACACTTCCATTAGATATTTTTCCTTCTTACCTGCCACTGAGAAGTTCCTCTAGCTCTGAAATTCGAGTATCCCGGTCACTCTTCTGGTTTCCTGATTAATGTACACTTCATTTCAGTTCAGCATGTATTTTTTGAGGATCTTCCTTGTGCCAGGCCCTCTGGATAGTGTAACCATTGTTTCGGACCCCTTGGATTTCCATCTGGCACAAATACAGATTAAAAACCAGTGCTGAGGGCTGTAAACAGGGAAGTCCAGAGTGCTGCTGGAAAACGTGCCTTCCCCGTGCGCGACCTCCTTGCCCGCCGCTGCCCTTCTCTCCCTGGCCACGTGGGAGGGGGAGGGGGGTAGAACTTTTACTGTGCTGGCATCGCAATTCCAACACGGACACAAAAGTGAATGTTCTCCCAGCGTGTGCTCAGAGGAGTCACCGAGCTCTGGTTTCTGGTCAGGCTCATCTCGCATGCGAGGCAGCAGGCAGTGAGACGAGGTGTCCCCATGTCCCTCTCGGATTTGGGTCTCAGGTACACAGATCAGAGTGGCGAGGAGGAGGAGGACCATGAGAGTGAGGAGCAGCTGCAGCACCGCATCCTGACGGCAGCCCTGGAGTTCGTGCCCGCCCACGGCTGGACGGCAGAGGCGATTGCAGAAGGAGCCCAGGTGTGCACGCTGAGGGTGGGCAGCTGGCGGAGACCAGCCCGGGGAGACGTACACTAGCCGGGGCAGAGGGCCTTGCGCGTCTTCCAGCCCAGCGTGGAACCCCTCTCCGCCACAGGGTTTTCTCTTTCGGGGGGTTTCTTTCCCGGTAAGGTGGAAATGGGTGCATTTTAAAACTATTTTTTGATATAAAAAAAGCGTAAGATGGAGTTGGTTTTTGGGAGTTCGGCTCTAAAGGCAGCTGTTTAGGCGAGAATTGCCCGTGATAAAAGCCACCACACTCATTGACTCCGAGATGCCTCTGCTTGTGACAGGCAGCATTGTCTCTGCCTCATTAAAAAAAAGGAAAATGCTGCCTTTGAACTATGACACATCAGTGTGCAATTCACACCGATTTTTAAAATGGTAAATACGTGCATCTTAGACTCGAGGAAACGTGGTGTGTGGAAGCTCCCAAGGATGCACCGCTTGGGAGACCAGCGCACTGTGTGTTGCCCACTAAGTCTAGGTCAGCGTTCCCTCCCGCGGGGGACTAGACTGCTGCTTTGAACCAAGCAGCGGGCTCACGTTCAGGCAACGTGGCACAGAATCACACGGCACAGCAGAGGCCGTCCCTCGGGAGGCCCGTGAGGGCGGACCCTGGTGGGATTGCAGAACCACGTCTCCCGTCCCAAGCCTGCCTGCCGCAGGGCCCCTGCTCGTGGGATCAGACGACGAGCAACTCCACTGCTTGACTCGGATTTAACGGTTGCTTCTCGTGTCTCTCACTCTCTCCCAAGAGCACGTACGGTAGCCGAAGGCATGTGCATGGAGGGTGCGTGTGATGTGACCCCACGGCGTGCTCGCTGTGGAGACTTTGACCAGTACAGATATAGAAAAGAGCAAAAAAAGTCCCTCCATGATCCCGCTATAAACATTTTAATGCCTGTTTCCATTTTTTTTAAAGAACTTGTCATTTATTCACCATTTATTCTGTAAACAGTTGTTGAGCAGATAGTGTGCACCCGGCACTGTGCTGGGTCCTAGGGACGTCGTCATGGTCAAGGCAGACATGGTTCCGCCCTTGCTGAGCCTCCCGTCCAGTGGCATTAAACACACACACACACACACACACACACACACACACGCTCACAGAGTGGGTGTGGGCTGTCAGGAAAAGGTGCTGTGGAGACGTGCAGTGGCGGGACCTGATCTTGGGGGCGGGGGTGGGGGCGGGGGCGGTGAGAAGGTGGTCGGGAAAGGCTTTGGAACTGCGATCTGAGGAATGCGTTAGGCTTCAGCGGGGC